AGAACTACAACTTTTATTTGAGACATTTTTTCGTTACATCAATATTTCTCGAAATAATCTCAAAAAAGTGATATTTTTTCACTTTTTTTGGAGTTTTGACCTTGAAAATGATCTTGTCGGCGATTTTCATTATCATATTCGTAATCAGCGCGCCAAAATACATAAAATAGTGCAGTTTCAAAAAAATCGGGCGTTTCACCTATTCGGAACTTTATCCAAATATTCTACTAAAAGATCATGAAATTTTGTCTGGTTAAATGCTGCTGTTTTCTAAAAAGTAAAAGAAATAAAAAATCAATTTTAATACAACAAACACAATAACAACATCAATAATATGATAATAATTATTATTATTCTAAATTCTACTCTCTAAATTTCTTGGAGTAAAAACGCACTCGAAAAATTGAGTGACTGGTCGTGTCACTCGAGTTAGAGTGACTTTTCATTCATACGGAGTTAATTCTCTCTCTTTTTGTTGTAAAGTGAATTTTTCACTTTGCAAAGTAAAGTGATCATGTGTATTTTATTTTGTAGAGTGAATATTTTCACTCTATGTGGAGTGAATATTTCATTCACATGAAGAATGAATGATCACTACGTCTCATTATCTCTTGTTCTCGTCTCATTGTTACACGTATTTGGTGCAAGACATCGTGGATATAAATAAGAATATCTATAAAGAATCCACGTAGATAGACATATAAAAATGTCAACATTTCTTCCAGAGGCAAGTACTTATAAGAATTTATGTGTAGTTTATTTACTGATTTAATATATTATGTAAAGAATAGTGTTTAGGTTAAATTGTTTTTCTAGGTTAGGTTACAGAAAGAATAAATCAAGATCTCACAGCATGTGGTTCGCCGTGCTACGTAGCTTCGTCATAAATTCGATTTGCATATCAATAAACAAGTAGTACAATGAGGAGTAACTTATATAATGACTTGTAGTTTATTAAATCGGCAAGTGCGTACCAAGTGCTGCAAAATCTCGGTTATAGTTAAATCTGTTGAAATAATATTAAATTTTTTTTTTTGTTAGGAGACGTTAAACAGTACTGGAAACTTAAATAAATTTTTATTAAGCAGTGGAATTTCGAAAGACGCCGTCAATATTTTGAAAGGTAAGATTTGCAATAAAATTAAAATTATAGTTTGGTAATGTTATATCAGTAATGTAATTATGTATATTAATAAACATTAATAATAAATTATATTCTGACTTTTTGTGTGGACGAGCTACATATTTATTATAAATTGAAAAGCATCAAGAGCAATCACTGGATGTTAATGCGAGGATTGTTAATATTTTCCATACAAAAAACCGATTTCTGTCTACTAGAAACATTATTAAAGTGTACACGATCTCGGATTCGAGATACTAAAGTGTACGAACATTACATACATTGATCTCATTTTCGAGAATCTAAATGTACGAAATGAAGGAAAGAAAGGAAGTTTCTAGAAAGAAGGAAGCTTGAAAGAAAAATATCAGGGCGCGAGTGGCTCATTTCGTACATTTAGATTCTCAAAAATGAGATCAATGTATATAATGTTTGTACACTTTAGTATCTCGAATCCGAGCTCGTGTACACTTTAATAATGTCTCTAGTAGACAGAAATCGGTTTTCTGTATGGAAAATATTAACAATCCTCGCACTAACATCCAGCGATTGTTCTTGATGCCTTTCAATTTGTAGTAATTGATTTATATCATAAGAGCCATTTTCTTATATATTAATGATATTTATTATAATTAAAATTATTAGTAAAATTATTTAATAAATATGTAGCTCGTCCACACAAAAAGTCAGAATATAATTGAGGGCGCAGATCAAAGAGAAGTTTTTTCAAAAGTTGGTTGTACTTTTTATTTTAGTTTATTTATTAATAGTAACAAAAGTGTATATGTCGTTTAATTAAAGTATCTATTATTTTTATCACACTTTTTGTGTCACTTCAGGTTTTCTTTTAATTCCGTGTTTGTAAAATTATTCACTTTAATTTTTAGGTAAAACTTATAAAAAATATGACAAATTTTTGCAAGTTTCTAGATGAGGGAGATATTTTATTTGAGAAATAATAAATTAATTATTTTTACAGATTATCTGATGATGATAAAGAAATAATAAATAACATAAAAATAACGTCTTAATAATGTGTTTATAATATATATTACTTTGTCAATTATAGTTAATAAATATTATTTTGTCTATTTCTTATTTATATACATTGCTTAGAATTAAGACTTATTAAGAGTGAATTTGTTCACTCGTAACAATTGAGTGAAAAATTCGCTTGACGAAAGAATGAAGATTTCACTCTGATCGAGTGAATTATTAACGCCGGAACGAGTAATACATTACTCTAACGTAGAGTGATACTTTACTCTACGTTAGAGTGAAACAATCACTTTTGTAAAAAGAGAATTTTTACTCTCTACGAGTGGCAGTATTTTCACTATCGCTTGGAGTGAATATCCACTCATTTGGAGTTAGATTTCACTCTAAGAAATTTAGAGAGTACTCCTACGACTTTATATCAAAGTTCGTGCGTTAGCCTTATTAGACACTGTATTCACGATTTTACAGTTATACGGGCGTACTTACATTATCCTTGTCTTCTTTGTTAAATAAATGAATTATTGTTCGATTTCCTTGTGCGTCATTTTTTCTTGAATTTTTCTCGGGAAAATAACTTTGAAATTGTTTCTCATGCTTGGCTGATAGATGCCGTATAAGGCCAGAAGTACCACCGTTACTCATTTTTATTACCGTATTTTCCCCTTTCTCTCTACATAATTTGCATAATCTTATTTTGTCTTGTTTTTTTATCCGTTGTTGTTATTTCATAAAAATTTTTAATTTTTTTACGAGGGCGTTTTTCTTGTATTATGTATTTTTTTTTATTTAATATATACAACAATTTTTTTGAAAGGTAAAACACTTTTGTTTTGATTGTAATAAAATTGACTAGAAATTATAAATATTGTTGAAACTAATTTAGTATACATAAAACAGAAATATTAAACTTTGAGCTATTTAATTTTATTTATTTTAGAAAAATCATACACTAAAGTCTCTAATGCCCTATCTACACCAAAGGATAATCCTACTTGTGGCTCATCCGACCACTTTTGCTCGTCTACACTAAGTACAATTTTAGTGTTGTTATATTGGTACCGTTGACTTTAAAACCGGTAATAATTTCAGTACCTAGCCTATAAAACAAACTTTCATTCGATCTAAGGTAACCCGAATTGTTATTCTGTTCGACAGAAGATTATTTTTTATAGAAATATCTTTGCTTTTTATATGCAAATATTCTGATGAGTGATTTGCTTTTTGAGTTGGTACGATTGAAAACCAACTTCAGTATGATTTTCGGTCGTCTACATTACTCGCTTGGATGAGCCACAAGTAGGATTATCCTTCGGTGTAGATAGGACATAAACAATTGTCACATAAGGCATAGTGATAATTGGTATGATTGTATAAATTTTAATTTTATCATACTTTCTGTCAAAAAAGCACATGATTCGAGACTTTAGTGTATGATTTGTCTAAAATAAATAAAATTAAATATCAAAGTTTAATATTTCTGTTCTATGTATACTAAATTAGTTCTAACAATATTTATCATTTCCAGTCAATTTCATTCTGTTCTGTCTGTCTACTAACCACAGAATACTGAGAGTGTTGTCAACATGTCTTGCTACACTTCTGCACTTTAAGATCGAAAAAAATTTTTTCATGAAGAGTACTATTATTTTGATATACACTATCTTTATTCGTCTTCACAACACGTTATATATACATTTTACGACCAATATTAATTATATCAATGTAATTAATATATCATCAAAGCTGCGAGCTGACAGGTCTGAGCGCCGCCATGTTAGAAATGTTAGAAAAGGAAAGACGTCTTTTAGATAAAAAAGAAATGCTAACAACGCTGACCAATAAGACATGAGCGACATACATCCTAGCGCGACATTCATCCTAGCGCGACATACATCCTAGCGAGATAATTTTTTAGATTTCTCGACTTTAAATGCATATATTTTATTTATATAAAGTACACAGAGCAAAAACAAGCAAACTTTCGTTATATATTTTAGGTATGCGCTTTCGATTGAGCCTACTGCCAACTCAATCGGCCCAGCCGTTATTGAGATCCGATAATCTCGGCTCATCTGAACTTTCCGTCTCGCGTAAAGAGACACGATCGGTCTTGCGCTACGCGTGAACTTGGCGCGAGACACTACCGTGTCTCTTGATTATCAATAGGACTAGTGCTAGTACCCATACAGCACAGATCATTGCAATCACATTGCAGCAATGTTGCAATATTGCAAATGGCAATTCAACATTACAAAGACATTGCAGAGATATAGATCCACAAAATACTAGCACGTTTGTAGCAATATGACATTAATATTTCGGAAACATTGCAAAATCCAAATTTTATATATAATTTAATATAAAATATATAATATACATTTTAATAATAAAATATTATAATAAAATAATTTTTTGCAATATTCTTTTTTTAAATTGGTTTAAATTGTATCGTATGCTCTGCGCAGCATATGTGCACGTTCGCGCTTGTGTTAGCTGGCGCCGGCATCGCTGCGTTCTGCGCTAGTCGTTCATTATTGCCACGTGTCGTATGATCTCACGTAGACTCACATTTCTTGTTGCAAGAAGAAAGAAAAAAGAGGTAAGTACTTCTTGACAATATTTATGTTTAGTTATAACAATCTATATACTAAAAATGTTATATTCATTAATAGAAAATCATATATCTAGGGTTAATAATCTATAACCTCAAAATTACTGAGATCGATTAGAAAAGTATTTATCTATGAAAAATTGTATTTATCTATGATATGATCTATATCTATTTTACCATTATTGTTTCAGAAAATATCATCAAACATTTATATAGGGTGTTCTACAGTGCAATATATATAATATATTGTTTATATTTTGTTGCTGCCAGTATTCTAAATACATTTATTTGGTATTCAACTAATAGGTAAGGATCTTTATCTATATTGGGATTGTCCTTTTATCTTCAATTAGTAATTATTTAATTATCTAAATTATATGTTATTTTTTTAGATTGAACTAAAATATATATTTTATTTTTATAACAATACTTGTGTTAGTAAAACTTGTATGCTTAAGCTTAAATGTACGTATATAACTATAATAATAATATATTGCACGTTATCTAACGTTATTATATATCTAACGTTAGTAACAAATATGTCTAACGCATTAAAACATAAAGTGTATATTTCAAAACGTCACATAAGGAGAATTATTGAAGATCAAACTAATATTGATATAGCAGGATCATCTACACAAATTAAACAGTCATTATTAAATACCAATAGATCTTTTAAAGATAATTGTTTGGTTTTACATAAAATTAGTGATATAAATATTCATGCATTTAATAAAAACATCACTAATGAAACGCTTAATCCTGAAATTGAAATCTGTGAAAATGAAAATCATTATCTACAATGTCAAAATATAAATGACAATAATACTGGCATGCAAGTAGACTATGATCATGATAGTGATATTGACAATCTTACCACAGAAAGTAAAAGCAGAAGCTACAATGATGTTGATGAAAATAATAAATTTAAAAATGATTTTGTTAAATGGGCTTTATCATTCAATATTAATCATAACGCATGTAATGCATTGATAACAATTTTGCAGCAATATACATCATGTAATTTTTCGAAAGATATACGAACGTTACTACAAACTCCACGACAAGTTCATGTAATAAGTGCATGTGGCGGACAATATTTTTACGCGGGTTTGAATAATGTGATTAAGAAAATGTTTTTAAAATCTAATAAGAAATATATAAATTTACTTATAAATATAGACGGTCTTCCTCTCTCAAAGTCATCACAGTCTTCATTATGGCCTATTTTATGTTCGAATACAGTAAATGAAGATGTATATGTCGGTGCATATTTTGGAGAAAAAAAACCGCAAGATTGTAATACTTTTCTTCAACCTTTGGTTAATGATTTCATTTCTTTAAGCAATGGTTACATTTATGATAAAAACGTGATCAAAATTAAATTATTTGGTTTGATATGTGATGCACCAGCAAAATCCTTTATTTTATGTACAAAAGGTCACACTGGGTTCTACAGCTGTACAAAATGTACAATAAAGAAAATATTTAAATGGTAGAGTTTGCTTTCCAAATGCACCATATTCTTTAAGAACTGACGATTTATTTGCCATTAATGGTTACAAGAATTTTCAGACAGATTACTCCATTATAAATAATATTCCGGGTTTTTTACCTATAACGAACACGCCCTTAGACTATATGCATCTTGTATTGTTAGGCGTTGTTAAAAAATTAATACTTTTATGGATAAAAGGTCCGCTTTCTATACGTTTAAGACCAAGATCAATCAAAAGAATATCATATTTGTTAATCTTGCTTAGAAGTAATACACTAAGTGATTTTGTTAGAAAGCCAAGATGTATACAAGATGTTAAACAATGGAAAGCTGTAGAATTCAGAAATTTTCTTTTATATACGGGACCTGTTGTTTTAAAGTATTCATTAGCAGAAAATTTGTATCATCATTTTCTTATGCTTCACGTAGCAATCACAATTCTTGTTCGTCCAGATTTATGTAAAACAGAATTTATAGATTATGCAGAGGCTTTACTTAAAAATTTTGTCTTATCATTTGAGATTTTGTATGGTAAAAAATTTATATCACATAATGTCTGTTTTGTGTCAGCAGGGATAGAATATATCCACACTGTGGTTCCGTATATGAAAAATTAGTTTATTGATATTGTACAGGTTTGTGGGTTTTTACACACACTAATGTTGCGACGACGCTTAGGGGCCTTCGTACGCCCTGAGTCGCATGGACTTGACACACACTAATGTTTTTGCGACGACGCTTAGGGGCCTTCGAACGCCCTGAGTCGCATGGACCTCGCCTAGGGGCGTTATATCTTTCACCCTGAGT